CGCGAGTGCCCACACCGTGGGGCCCGGTCTCCCCGCAGACCCCGGCGCCACCCCACAAAGCCTCAGCCCGCCCCGCCAGAGTCGGAAGCGTCTCCTCAAACCCCGTTATGTTGGACAGGCTGGAAAACCGCAGGGGCCGCTCCACAGGCCCTGGGCACCACCTCGGCAGAGCTCTTAAAGTCCCTGAAATAGCCATTGCCCACGAGTGCCCACACCGTGGGGCCCGGTCTCCCCGCAGACCCCGGCGCCACCCCACAAAGCCTCAGCCCGCCCCGCCAGAGTCGGAAGCGTCTCCTCAAACCCCGTTATGTTGGACAGGCTGGAAAACCGCAGGGGCCGCTCCACAGGCCCTGGGCACCACCTCGGCAGAGCTCTTAAAGTCCCTGAAATAGCCATTGCCCAGAACCTCGAGATGCACCCGAACCCCTGGGTTCACCTTACAAATCCCAGACGTGCTTTGAGGTGCACTGTCATAGTTCCCCAAATGTCCCTGTCTTCCTTGCTTTGTCCTCATTTTTTCTGAGACATCCTCAAAAACTAGGGGGGTTGGGCACGGTGGGGTAATCCCAGCACTTGGGAGGCTGAGGCAGGAGGAGTACTGAGAGTTCAAGGCCAGCTTGGGCTACACGGTGAGTTCAAGACCAGCCTGAACTCCAGTGAGACCCTGCTTAAAGCCTCCAGTGCTGCAAGTACCCACCCCCACTCCCACCCCAGGGCAGACCCAGTCTGGTGTGCCACTCGTGGCTCTCTGCCCAGCCATGGTGCCCAACCTTCCCTTTGCTAGCTGCTGTCTCCAATGTCAGAGGGGCCCAGAGTCAGGTGACCGGGGCTTCAGTCTGGTCTCTGGTGCTTCTTGGCCATTTGACCTTGAGCAAATCATTTCATTGCACTTGGCCTAAGTTTTGCCAGCCGTAAAATGGGTACAGTAAGAATAGCCACCTCACAGAAGGGCATGCGAAAGGCTCAGATATGTCTGCACGTAGTGAGCCCTCACTGAGGGTTACCTCCCACTGTAGTCATTATTTGACAAAGGGCTTTTGTTTTGTTTTGTTGGGATACAGTCTTGCTAAGCAGTTCAGCCTGGCCTGGAACTCACTATGTAGTCCAGGCTGGCCTTGAACTTGAGGTGACCCTCCTGCCTCAGCCTCCTGAGTGCTGGGGTGACAGACCCATACTATCCCAGCTGCGTCTCCATGAAATGTTAACATCTATGGAAACAGCGTGTGTAGAATTGGTTCTCTAGAGCTACTGATTTTATGCTTCTGGGTTCAAACAACAACAGATCAAAAATGCAAAAAAAGAAAAAAAATGTGTTAATCCTAAACATGTACAAACTGATGTTTCCTGTCATCAACCCCTAAACAATATGGGGTAACCACTATGTACATAGCCAGGTGTGGTGCACGCCTGTACTCCCAGCACCCAAGAGGCTGAGGCAGGAGGATTGCCAGGAGTTTGAGGTCAGCCTAGACTACACAGTGAGTTCAAGGCCAGCCTGAGCTACATAGTGAGATGCGATCTCAAAAAACAAAAACAAACCAAAAAACCACAACTATGTATGTAGCACTGACATCTATAAGTCATCTAGAGGTGATTTTAGGTAGATGTGAGCATGGGCGTGGGTTCTACGCAAATACTGTGCCATCTTATATAAAGACCTAAGAAGCTGGGTGTGGTAGCCCATACCTGTCATCCTAGCACTCCAGAGGCTGAGACAGGAGAATTTCCATAAGGGAAGACCCTATCTCAAAGAAAGAAAGAAAGAAAGAAAGAAAGAAAGAAAGAAAGAAATTGAACATTCACAAATTTTGGTAAAAATCATTTTCCAGTGTGTGCACCAAGCAACAGCTATATATCTAGATTATACATGGGATTTAGGCCCTGGAACGCAGCCCATGCAAGGCCCTTGGGTCGATGCTCAGTATTGAAAAAGAAAAAAATGTTCTGGTGTGTGCATGCGTGTGTGTGTGTGTGTGTGTGTGTGTGTGTGTGTGTGTGTGTGTGTGTTTTGGTACCGGGAATGGAACTTGGAACCTTATGCTTGTGAGGCAGGCAGTGGCACCACTGAGCTACATCTCCCACCGTTCTGTTTTGTTTTTTGAGATAGTCTCACTGTACATCCTAGGATGGCTTTTAATTTGAGCTTCTCCTGCCTCAGCCTCCCCAGTGCTGTGATTACAGGTGTGTGTAGCTGTGCCCACCTTTCAGATTCTCTGTAAATCTCCCCTCAGACATGTTCACCTGCTTGTTCATGACCTTGTTGAGAACACACAGTCCCTTTCCTCTGGGGTTGGGTGATCTTTTTTTCCTGGGAAGCAACGTGGCTGTAGGCCTGGCTTCTACCCACTAGGTGTCAGCAGCACCCTTCATTCCACATTCAAATGTCCCCAGACACACACCCTCCCCGCTCCCCGCAAGTTCTGGCCCCAGGGTGGTTCCTGTTCCTGTCCCTGTCCTGGGTGTCCTTGTCCCCTGCCTGGCTGAGCTTCCTCTGCCCTGCTGTCCCTGTATTGTTTGATGGCACAGCAGCCCTGGGGGCCAGGTCCACTTCAGAGATGGAGAAGCCAAAGGACAATGGCTTGGTCAGGTCACCCATCACTAAAGGAGCAGAGCTGGATCATGCGTCCAGAGACTCTGGAATCTCAGCCAGGAGGTGACACAGGCCTTTCACGCATGTTTCCTTCTGGCCTATATTTGTCCCTTCCTTAGGAAGCTAGTCCGGGCCCATGACCTCTGAGCTCCCCATCACTTGCCCACCTCTGTTTCTTTCATTCACCCCTCCTTTCCTCTGTGCTCCTGCCTCCCATTTCTACCACAGGACCTTTGCACTGGTCACGGTCTCTCCTACTAGCACCCTCTTCTATCAGATCCATATACAACATCCTCCTTCAGTTTATTTAGGTCTCTGCTCAAATGTCACCTCCTTGCCTGACCTCAGGCTCCCTCTGTTCTTCACAGCCCACATGTCACCATCTATAATTATCGGGTGGCTTTATCTTTACTGCTATTTCTGCTTCACCCACTGGTCTGGGAGTTGCAGGCAGCAGGACTAGGTCTATGAAATTCTGAGCTGCAGCCAGTCTCAAGCATGCTTTGATAGAATGAATGATCCTGTGACAGGCGAGTAAACTGAGGCTCTGGCAGGGAAGACCGCAGAGCAAGAAAAGGGCAAGGGGATAGAAACAGTGAGGGCAGATGCCTCTCAAAATTCCATCCTCACCTGTCATTCTAGCACTCAGGGAGGCTGAGGCAGGAGGATTGCAAGTTTGCACCCAGCCTGGGCAACTGAGTGACTCAGTGAGTCCCGTCTCAAAATGAAAAACTACAGGGCCAGGGATTAGCTCAGTGGCACTGCGCCTGCCTCACAAGTGCAAGATCCTGAGTTCAATCCCCGGTACCAGAAAAAGAAAACTCTAAATGGCTCAGTGTGAGGGCCCTGGGTTCATTACCCAGTACTGGAGGGAACAAAGCCTCCATCCTCCTCACCTTGCCAAGCTGTGGACGAGGCGCCAGTTTCCTGGACCTGAGTCCCTGGCAGGCAGTCTGTCACCAGCGGAGACGGGGCTGGGTGTGCGGTTTGAGGGCGGCTCCGCTCTCTCCGCTGACGTCATTTGAGGACGCTTTCTCCAAACAGCGCCCCAGCGCCGCACACTCAGCCTGGAAGGCTCACCACGCTCACCACGGCAGCGGCAGCGGGGGCGGCCGCTCATTTTTCAACCTGGTTTTACTGATGAGAAAAAGGAGGCTCAGAGAGGCACGCTGTCTGGGTACAGATCACACAGCAAGTCATTGAGGCTATGGTCTGACTCTTACCCCTGCTCCAGACTGCAGGAAGGTTATCTTGCTTTACCTGCTTGGGACTGAACCCCGGGCCTTTACACTGAGCTACATCCGCACAGCTCCAACCTCCCGACCCCTTTGTTTGGTTTGAGACAGGGTCTCGCTAGTAGTTCAGGCTGGCCTCGAACTGGCAGTGACCCTCCTGCCTCAGCCTCCTGAGTGCTGAGGCGCGCACCACCATGCTCAGAACTGTTTCTTTAACACTAATTCTGTCCTTTCTGGCCGCCTGACCTTGCACAAGTCACTACGCCTCTGTCTTCTGGGTAGGAGTCCAGGGAGGAGGAGGACGCTTGCAGGGAAGGGCGTGGGGAGGCCGTCTTGGGGTGGAGGCTGGGGTCCCTCCCAGCGATCGGGTCCCTCCCCGGGGAGCACGAGGACCGCCCCTCCCCGCAGCCTGCGGTCAGCCGGCCTGGCGCCCGCAACCGAGGCGCTCAATACGCATGAAATAATAATGCGGAATGAGAGGCAGCGGCGCTGGCGGCGGCTCAGGGGCAGGTGACGACCCGGAGCGCTCGCAGGCTGTCACCTCCTCTCCACCCAGCAGGGGGCGCGCGCGGGACCCGCCTACGATACCCAGGCTTGGAGCAGCAGGGAGCAGGGAGCAGGACCCTGGGGAGGACGGGCCGCTTGCTAGAGGTGGACGGGCACCCGGCTCTTCCACCTGCTCCTGGGCCATCGCCCCACGAGGGCGAGGGTTTGGAGGGCTTAGGTGAGGGGTAGGCGTGCGCCGGCCCCGCCTCCGAGCCAGGCACCCCTTCCCCCGCCCAGTCCTCCTCTTCCATCTGCTTGACAGATCAAGGGCGCGGTGAAGCAGCCCCGCGGGGAGCGCCAGGAACGCGACCTCCTGCACCTCCAGGTTGGGCCGGGGCACAAATGCAGTCTCGATAGGGGCGGGACCGTGCCCCTCTCCGGGGGTCCCCAGGGCTCAAGTCTAGGACACAGGCCTGCCCTGTTTCTGGAGGCTGGATGAACTCCAAGGTGGGAGGCTGGCACTGGGCTCCCCCGGCCCACACCCCACCCATGGGTCCCGCTGGAGGCCACACAGGCTCCCCAGAGAAGCAGTGTCCATCGGCACCCTGGGAGACAATCTATCTACTCCCGGCTCGCTGTGTTAAATCCTTCACAAAAGTCCCAGCTCAGGAAACTCTCAAACTGCCCAGCAGGGCCATGCCAACCACAGTCCCACTTTCCTGCCAGGAAACAGGTTCAGAGAGGGCAGGGCGCTCAGGGAAAGACACACAGGGGACCTGGAATCTCAGCTCTGCAGTGCCCCGGCTGTATGAGCTCGGGAGGACAGAAGGGTGACGTTTGCCTATCCGGGCCCCAGTTTTCTCGTCTGTCCACCCAGAGTTCCCTACGGAGCACCTGCCGAGTAAGTCCCTGGCATGGAGCCTGAGACAAAGCCCTTAGAGACAGATGCCGCTCAAGCCCTGATGATTATCACCACTCAGGCTCTGTCTCCTGAGAGCCACCGCTGTGGAGACCCGGGAGGAGGACATCCCTAGGGCCTTAAAAGGGAACGGAGCTCGGCTCTCAGCAACACCACCCCCCCTCTCGGGACAGTGGCTGGAGCCCTTTTGGCTGCCTGCCCCAGGTCCTGGCATTTCCTGTTGATTTTAGCTTTGTTTTCCTTTGGCTCTGGCTCTTCTTTGGTTCTTTTGGGAAACATCAGACTGTTGGGTCGATGTCACTTGTTTCGTGGGGGTGGAGGGCAGGGGTGCTGGGGCTGGGAGTTCCCAGAACAGAAGTAGAGGCAGCTGGAGGCGGTCCCCAGAGAGACCTAGAAAAAGAGGTCACAGCCTAGGGTCACACTGGGGGACTCTTGGTAAGAAGCCCAGATCTGAGTATCTAGCGACGTCCCAAGCAGCAGGCACCCGGGAATGAAGTGAAGTTATCAGTCACCCCGGTTATGGGGATGCACACGGTAGGACCCCGGGGCACCACCGGGGCAGGAACAGTCTCTAAGAATGCCAGGGGGTGAGGGACGGACACCAGTCTTTAGGGCATCCCAGGTGGATAGCAGGGCCAGCGCCCAAGTCAGGGCCCTGATTTTCAGACATGCTCACTGGGCAGATGACAAACGCAGTCACTGAGTCTCACAGGATCCCAGGGAGCAGGGACAGTTCTGGGGACACAGCCACTGTCCCCAAGAGGGTACACGAGACCTTGCAGCTGTCACTGCCTCTGTGGATCACACGCTGACGCCTCAGCTTGTCCCTGGAACACAGACACCACCTCACACTTCCTGTCCTAGAGCACACACCTGGTCACACTCACGGCGCCATCCACGAGGGTAGCCACCCTGTGGCAGTCACCATCACAACCACTGCTCCAGAAGCGCAGTATTTTTGTGGGGTTTTTTGTCCCAGTCGCCCTCCTGGGTGTACACTGCCACCACGTCACGGCCACACCATCTGGGACGCACACACGATCACGCTGCCCCGGTCCCTGTCCCGGAAGCAGACAGTCGCCCCGAAAGCACGGAGTCCCTGGAACACACAGCCACTGTGACAATCACTGTGTCCCCTGAGGACATGCAGTCCCCCTGTGGCAGTCCCAGCCCCTGTGGCGGGGCAGATGGGTCACACTGGCGCCCAGTGTGACTTATCACAACCACAGTATCCTGGGCTCACTAAGGGGCCATGTCACAGCAGCCCAGACAGAGCACTGCCGTGGTCCAGGCAGCCGGTCACACACTCCCAGGACAAACTGAGGTCGAGGACAGGACATACCCAGAGCACCTCTGACACCCCAACCCCGGCATTCCCCCCAAGACACCAGCCCCGGAAGGAGCAGACTCAGTCACTCTGGGCTGGGTCGGTGCGCCCTGGCACTGTCCCGCTTCTGGGGCCCCGGCTCCAGGCCTGAGAGCAGGCTCCGTCCCAACACACAGGCACCCCAGGGGCCCTGTTGGATTTCTGACCCCCCTGCTGCAGGACAAGTCGCCCATACACCCTCACAGAGGCCTGTACCCCAAGAGGACCCTAAATGTCCAGCCGGGAACAGACTGTGGCCCCCTAGAGTGCCCCCAGGACACCCCAAACACAGTGAACCCAGCCCTCAGTAGAGGCCCCCAGAAAAGTCCCTCCAGGTGATACCCATGTCTCCCCACTGTCCGGCACCCACACCATCTAGGACCCTTCCCCAACCCGGACCCTGTTAACCCCGCGTGCACAATGGCGCCCCCTAGGACTCCCCCAGGACTGGCATTAGTAGGTGCACAGGTGGAGACCCCTGTCCCTGACGCCCCCGCAGTTGAACTCCCCTCTTT